AAAGAATCCCAACCAGTGTGTCCCAAATGGACTGTAGTTATGTTTAGAAGTTGATCCATTCAGCCCTTGGGGCTACCAAAGTCCCAGCTGTTGTTGCTTCTGGCTTCAGGCAGCAATAGCCACAGTGTAGCATGCAAATATCCTCTGGTGCTCTGACGTGGACACAGTTTGGGCAGCACTGATGAGAAGATCAGCTGGTGGGAAGTGAGGATCAAGTAGCCCACCTAGATTCCAAGCCCAGGGGAATTCGTTGGGTGTGTGGCAAAGAGAACCTTAACCACTGAACCATAAGCAGAAGCTTCACAAGTGTGGGCTCTCCAGCCCCAGTCGGCTCCACGCCATGGCAGATGCAGAGGAAGTCTGCCAGCTGGACACTCCAGTCCTTGCATACAAGGACCCTGTGAGTCACTCCGCAGGATTTGTAGAGAGCCCACAGCGACCCAGACACCAGGCTGCAGCCCGGAGTCCTGTGGGCAGAGGATGTCAGAGGTGTGGTAAGTGTAAAGTAGGTGAAAGAGTGCGAGTGCTGGGAAGCGCCAGTGCCCAGGGCTGCAGGGACTTCAAGGAACCAGCCTTGTCTACAAGGTGGGTTATGAGGAAGCCTTTGAAGAGTTTTGATCAAGGCAGTAGTAAATTTAGATTTGTACTTTTTGTTAAGTCATTCTAACAAAAAATTACACAATGAATAGGAAACAGGGAAGAATTTGAGGACATAAGTTAGAAATTTACAGTATTCTAGAGCCCAGTGCCCAAAATTCATGCATGGTGGGGGTGGCGGGGTGGGGGAGGAGTCTATCCCTCAGCCCAGCCTGCACCCTCTCTATTCTGGGACCCGGTGGGATCGGGCCTAAATGGCCAGTTGGACATCCTTCTCACAATCCAGGACTGCTGGCTCCCAACCACTCGCCTGCCTCTGCCTAATTGCCGCTAACCGCTTCTGCCTGCCAGCCTGATCACCCCCTAACAACTCCCCTGCCAGCCTGATTGATGCCTCACTGCTCCCTGGCCAACCCTATTGCCCCTAACTGCCCTCCACTGCTGCCTGGTCACCCCTCACTGCCATCCCCTGCAGGCTTGGGTCCCTCCTCCCAATTATCCTCCCCTGCAGGCCTGGTCCCCCCCAACTGTCCTCCTCTGCTTGCCTGGTCACCCCTAATTGCCCTCCCTGCTTGCCTGATTGCCCACAACTGCCTTCCTCTGCAGGTCTGGTCCCCCCCAACTACCCTCTTTTGCTGGCCTGGTCACCCCCAACTGCCCTCCTCTGCTGGCCACAGCTGCCCTTCCCTATAGGCAATCTTGTGATGGCCATCTTGTGTCCACATGGGTGCAGCCATCTTTGACCATTTTGTGTCATGGAATGATGGTCAATTTGCATATTACTATTTTATTATATAGGATTAGAGGCCTGGTGCACAAAATTTGTGCACAGTGGGGGGAAGTGTCCCTTAGCCCAGCCTGCACTCTCCAATCTGGTACCCCTCGAAGGATGCCTGATTGCCCCTTTAGGCCTGATCCCACTGGGATCAAACATCCCTCTTACAATCCAGGACTGCTGACTCCCAACCACTTGCCTGCCTACCGCCTGATTGCCCCTAACCGCTTCTGCCTGCCAGCCTGATCACTCCCTAACCACTCCCCTATTGGCCTGATTGCCCCTAACTGCCCTCCCCTGCCAACCTGATCACCCCCATCTGCCCTCCCCTGCAGGCCTGGTCCTCCCCAACTGTCCTCCCCTGCAGGCCTGCTCCCCCCAATTGCCCTTTGTCTGCAGGCCTGGGTCCCCCCAACTGGCCTCCCCTGCAGGCCTGATTGCCCCCAACTCCCCTCCCTTGCAGGCCTGGTCCTTCCCAACTGCCCTCCCCTGCTGGCCTGATCGCCCACAACTGTTTTCCCCTGCTGGCCATCTTGTGTATTAAAGTGATGGTCAATTTGCATATTACCTCTTTATTATATAGGATCATGAAGAGATGAGAGTTATAGTTACCTGAAACAGGTAGGTAGGCTTTTTCAAAAATTTGAGGTATAATTGACATACAGTTAACCCTTGATTTTATGGACCTCAATTTCATGGACTTGAGGCTTAACTGATAAAATTTCCCATCCATATGTCATATGTGAAAATTAACACCCTGTTAATTTTAAGATACTTTTAACTCATGTTTGCTTATAATTAAACTAGAGGCCCGGTGCATGAAATTCTTCCATTGGGGGGTAGGGGGAAGTTGTCCCTCAGCCCAGCCTGCACCCTCTCCAGTCTAGGACCCCGGTGGGATTGGACCTAAATGAGCAGTCGGACATCCCTCTCAAAACCCAGGAATGCTGGCTCCCAACTGCTTGCCTGCCTTCCTGATTGCCCCTAACTGCTTCTGCCTGCCAGCCTGATTACCCCCTAACTATTCCCCTGCCAGCCTAATTGATGTCTAACTGCTCCCCTGCCAGCCCGTTTGCCCCCAACTTCCCTCCTCTGCCGGCCTGGTCACCCCTAACTGCCCTCTCCTGCAGGGTTGATCACCTTCAACTGCCCTCCCTTACAGGCCTGGTGATTCCCACCTGCCCTCCCCTACTTGCTTGATCACCCACAACTGCCCTCCCTTGCAGGCATGGTCCCTCCCATCTGCCCTCCCTTGCTGGCCATCCTGTGGTGGCCATCTTGTGTCCACATAGAGACAGGATCTTTGACCACATAGGGACAGCCATATTGTGTGTTGGAGTGATGGCCAATCTGCATATTACTCTTTTACTGGATAGGAAAGAGGCCTGGTGCACGGGTGAGGGCCAGTTGGTTTGCCCTGAAAGGTGTCCCAGATCAGGGGGGCGGGGTTCCCTTGGGGCGTTGGGCGGCCTGGGCGAGGGGCCTGTGGTGGTTTGCAGGCCAGCCATGCCATCTTCTACAATTGAAAACTGGAGCAGAGTCAAGCCTCCTGCTCACTTTCTGCTTGGATTTGTTTACCTTTTATAATTGAAACTTTGTAGCCTGGAGAGGAGGCTTAGGCCAGCAAGGGCAGGCAAAAAGCTTGGCTTCCTCCTGCTCTCTGTGGATATAGCCATCTTGGTTGGATTTATTTGCATACTCACTCTGATTGGCTGGTGGTTGTGGCTGGTAGGTGTGGCTTGTGAAGCGGAGTGATGGTTAATTGCATATTATTATTTTATTAGGTAGGATTAACAAGGTTTTTTGGTTATTCACTGTTATTTTTAACAAATTTTATAAATAGGCTATTATTGCGAAAAAACACTAATAATATCGCCAACAGAAATAAATATGATTTATTTATTATAGTTATACATCTATAACTATAGTCTACATATTTAAATGCAAGAGTCACTGCTCGTAAACAATGTTCAGCAAATGATTAGCACATGATCACACCACATCGAACATGGTAACTGGTTCTGTTGTCACATGGTGTGTCTTCATGCAGCAGTTTTAACACCTGGCAGGATGTTCCTACATGCACTAAGCCATGCCCCAGCTGTGTGCATTTGTTACTCAAGGTAACTGATGAGTGCACACATTTACTAGACCTACTCAGTATAAATTTAAAATTACTGTAACACATGGAAAACTTTTCTGTGAAATTAAACTTTTCATGTGTACTTAATTACACAAACTTGTCTATATCAGTAAAAACTGATAAACTAACATCAATTTTTTAACTACACATTTGGAAAACCTACTTTATTATATAACAGATACACCCTAGCCCAAATTAGTCCATTATATTGAGATTTTTATTGTATAATACACATTAGCATTAGTTTTAGGAGTACAATAATAATGATCTAACATTTGTATATATATATATTTTTTAATATATTTTATTGATTTTGTACAGAGAGGAAGGGAGAGATAGTTAGAAACATCGATGAGAGAGAGTCATCGATCAGCTGCCTCTTGCACACCCCCTACTGGGGATATGCCCGCAATCAAGGTACATGCCCTTGACCGGAATCGAACCCGGGACCCTTCAGTCCCCAAGCTGATGCTCTATCCATTGAGCCAAACCGGTCCCGGCTAACATTTGTATATATTGAAAAATTATCACCATGGTAAGTTTAGTTAACATCCATCAACATACATAGTTACAGAATTTTTTTCTTATGATGAGAACTTTTAAGATTTACCCTGTTTGTAACTGTCAAATATACAATATGGTATTGTCACCATACCGTACATTGTATCCGTATCCCCAAAGTATATTTATTTTATAACTGGAGTTCATCCTTTTATCCGTTTTGCCCACACCCAGCCCCCATTCTCTGGTAATCACAATCTGTTCTGTGTCTAGAAGCTTGGTTTTGTTTTATTGTTTGAGTTTCTTTTTAAATATGTTTCTATTGGCTTTTAGAGAGAAAAGTCTTTAGTGAGGCTCCGTATAAGGAGAGCAAGTTTAAAAGTGGATTTTGATCATTGAAATCTTAATTTACAACCAATTTGACTGTCATGCTTCTCTTTTATACTTAAATTTTAGAATTCTTTATTTTTTTTCCAAATCTTTTTTGAGAGTATTACAGATGTCCCCCACATTAACCCCTCTTCACCTGGTTTCCACCCTACCCCACCCCAGGCATTCACCATCCTTTTGTCTGTGTCCTAAGTAAGATCTTTGGTTAATCTCTTCTCGTTCCCCCTCTCTCTGAGATTCATCAGTCTGTTCCACGTTTCATGCCTCTGATTCTATTTTATTCACTAGTCTATTTTGTTCATTAGATTTCTTATTCATTTATTTTTATTTTTAGAATTCTTAAATGTGTATATTTTTAACCCACTTCATAAAAGCCAGCATAGTTACCTACTTTGAGGAATTTGTCTCTTTCTTCCTGGCTGCCTGCATTCACTCTTGCCCTGTGCGTCCTGGCAGCTTAGGAGCGTTGTAACTCATAATGTGAAACTGTCCCTTTCCTCAGGTTTGTGACCCAGGAGGAACCCTTGACCTCAGCTGTGGCTTGGTGCTGGCAGAAGCCAACTTCATGACTGAGTGCACAAGCAGCAGTTTGCCATGGAGAGCTTGGGGCTGCAGACAGTCACCCTCAGTGATGGGACAACAGCCTACGTCCAGCAAGCGGTCAAAGGTGAGTGTTTCCAGGGACCTCAGAATCCCCCTGTCCTCCAGCTTCTGGAGAGAAGTGTCCCCTTCCATGAGTCTCCCCTGCCTCCCACCCACTTGCCACAACTTGCTCTGCATGAGAATCTCTTGAGGTAACCCTTTCCAATAAAACGCCATCTAAGCAGCTAGAAAATCAGGCCAGACCAGCGTAGGAGCCAAGACCTCTGAAAGCAGAATTCCTTATGTGTGGTGAGTAGTTCGTAACTCCTCCTGGAATAGATGAACACAGTGCTGATTTTGATTCCTGCTTTTCAAATACTCCCTATGCAGTTGCTCAGACTTTCCAGCAAGTTTAAGCACTCAAACTATCTACTGAGCAACTGCCATGCACAAGATTCTCTTCCGGGTCCCGAGAGAGAGACCAAAGACAGGCCCACCAGTGTCACCAGAAACAAAAATGCACGGCACACAGTTAAGTCTGAATTTCAGAAGAAACAATAAATAATTTTGTAGTATAAGTCTGTCCCAAATATTACATGGGATAGACATGTGTAAGCATGGGACTAAATGCTAAAAATACTAAAATAAAAACACAACTACTAAAAAAAATTCATTGTATGTTTGAAATTCAGATTTACCTGAAATTCAGATTCCCTAGGATCAAGGTGAGGGTGGCTTCGGAACAGAGTGTAGTTTAAGGGTTAGGCCTCGGCCAGGGACACTTCCCTCTCCACAGGCTCCTTCCGGCCTCAGACACGCCAGATGGCATCTCGGCTCCCTCGGACAGCGCCGGCAAAGCCTGTCTCCTGCTGAGTCTTTATCTTCCTGTTCTGGGTCTGAGCGTGGCCGTCCTCACAACCGCATCATCTCCTCAACATCGCACTCCCTCACTGCAACACGTTGTCAAATGTATTTCGGTTCCAAAACTTACAGACAATTTGTTTGTTGCTTTCATTTTAATTGTCTACTTCTTGATGATGACAGAGACCCCTTCATCTCATCAGTAAGCTCTTTCCATATGAGAACAAGTGGGTGCCTTCTCAAAAGGTTTCTTATCGAGACCTAGGATGTGTGGGGCTGGCTTAGTTTTCTTGAACGTGGAACCTCTCTAGAATCCTTTTGAATCCGGAAACCCTGTGTTTGCAGACTTCCCATCGCAGTTGCTACCCACTGCTGCAGTCCCCGCGGTGGAAGCACCAGGAACTGTGTAGACTGGGCGTGTTTTTTCTGCACAGACCCAGTTATCGCCCATGCCTCATTCTTCTGCTACGAATTTTTAATGGTTGAATGAATAAGTAAAAGCAAGTGACCGTATTTGGCCTAAGAAAGCCACACTTTCTTATCTCTCTCCTTCTTGAATCTGGGTCTCTTTGCCTCCCCCACGTCCTGTTTATATCTCTCTCTCATCACTCTTCCTGGCTCTGTTCTCTGCCGCCTCCAAGGTGCTGCAGTGTGTACTTGCACCCATGCACACGCTCACACACAGCAGATTCACTCTGCGGAGGGGAGAGCTGGCCTCCCATGCAGAGCCACGCTGTCTCAGAGGGCGCCTCTGCTGAGCTCCTCTGAAGGCCTCGACGGGCACGTTTGTCTGTCAGCAGGCAGCTGTGTCTGGGCCCCGGGATGTGCAGGAAGCCCTGACATTTTATGAAATTAGAGTAAGCACAAAGCATGTCATTCAAACCCTACTCTCCTGAGAGTGGAAGAGCATGCTGTGAGTAAGTGCACTGGTCTGCTCCGACGGCAGGAATGTGCGGCCCCTCTGTGAGGGGCTGGGAGGCCAGTCAGCCAGCTCTTCTCCCCCTCCCATCGCAGCCTCTGGTTGTGAGAGAAAATTCTAGGTTAAAGTTTTCTCAGCCGCCCTAGCTCGTTAGGCTCTGTGTATAGAGCGTCAGCCTGTGGACTGAATGGTCCCGGGTTCCATACCAGTCAAGGGCACATGCCCGGGTTGCAGGCTTGATCCCCAGTAGGGGGTGCGCAGGAGGCAGCCAATCAGTGTTTCTCTTTCAACATTGATGTTTCTAACCCTCTCTCCCTCTCTCTTCCTCTGAAATCAATAAAATAATGTTTAAATGTTTTTCTCAGCCATTATTACACATTTCAAAGTATATTTTAAATAAAAAAGTGAATAACATAGGTTAAATGACCACTAGTAAAATATATGTAGTGTATTCAGTATATATTTACTTTAAAGGGTGATAGGAGAAATATAGGAGTGTAAATAAAATATTGATAGCTGTACATTAAAAAGAAAGACTTTTTCTTAAATAACTCTCTCAGTCTTTTGTTTTCTGCCATGAGGCGATGCCCAGTTCGCTAGCGGAATCTCTGCTGGTCCTTTCAGAGCCCAGCATGGCGCCCGGCAGGACAGATGCAGAGGCCCCTGCTCACGTGAAGGGACAGGCCGGGCGGGGCTCCCTTTCCCCTCTCCCCTCCACCTGTCCTCGGCTGGGTTGTGGAGTTGTTAACTACGGACCCAAAGGACTCGGTTTGGGGACAAGTTGGGGAATTCCTCGGAGGAAGAGACATCAGCAGGAGCTGGGCCAAAAGCATTGCCTGTCCCCCATAAGAGCTCAGCTTCCTAAACCCGTAACTTCAAGGAAAGGAATGAACAAGCCATTTGTCATTAGTGCTTCAGTCTCCTTTTTCTCTTCTCCTTTCCCATTCCCTCCTTCACACTCACTGGGCACAAAACTCTAAGAATCTTTTGCCCTTAGAAGAGCTTTCCAGTAAGAATCTGAGATAAAAGAAAGATAATATTGTGGCACTCTGTAGTCTTATTAATTTTTAGAGTGCTATTTTGTTGCTTTAGGCGAGTCGGTTTTTTATTGGACAACTGAAGGGAAGATGGCAGAGGTCAGCGGAGGAGACATTGTCCACCCTGGCGAGGGAGCAAGACCGTGGACATGTGGGGCACAGTAGTCACTCACATTCACTTTGCTCCCAACTGCTCTTTATGTGTCTTCTAATGTACAGATTGGAATTATTGTAAAAACACAAAGCCAAGGTTTATTGAGGGCTGGCCACATCCCAGGGACTGTTCAGAGTGTTTTATATTCATTAATTCATTTAACCCTCATAGCAATCAAGACAATTTTTAATCGTTTTAAGAAGAAGAACCACAGAAAGGTTAAGGAAGCTGCACACAGCTAGTGAGAGCTAGAGCTGAAGGCCATTGCAGGAGGCCTGGGCTGGTTCCAGAGCCCGTTGCTGCTAGCTGTAAGCCACACTGGCTGCCAGGGGCCTAGGCCTTGGCACGCTGGCACAGGGAGGTAGGGAATGTGTTTTGATTTGGTTATTGTGAGCCATATCTGACTTTTGACCCATGGGTCTTTCCTAGGTCTCAGGGCCTCCTTTGTTCTTCAGTTCGTTCAGTCTCAGCAGCAGCTGTGAGGCTGGAAGTCCCCACTTTGCTGGCTGTATAGAGTAATAGATGCAGCAGCTCCCCCTGTGGGGATCTGAGGGGCTCCTCAGGGCTCAGGCCTTGGGAGCAGGGAGCAAGGTAACCTGAACAATGTCACCTGTACCTCACAGAGACCTCTGCTAAAAACAGCCAGGTGTCGTCAGCCCCTTTCTGGGCCTGGCCCACTTCTCTCCATTTCCGTCTCCACAGGAGAGAAGCTGCTTGAAGGACAAGTGATCCAGCTCGAAGACGGCACCACCGCGTACATCCACCAAGTGACAGTGCAGAAAGGTGAGGGAGGGCAGGCAGCCCCCACCGAGGAGCCCTCCCTGGCGCCGAGCTCCAGAGAAAGGCAGGCATTGCTCTCATTACAGAGCCTCTTTCCTTTGAGGATGGACAGCCTGTGCAGCTGGAAGATGGCAGCATGGCCTACATACACCGCACACCCAAAGGTGGGGCCACAGGCATCATGGCCGCGGGAAGGAAGGGGGACAAGGTGGGGCGTGGAGTGGCATGCCCTGGGAGGCGGGGCATAGCCATGGAGCGTGGTACCGAGCTCCCCAGGATTAGCAGTCTCAACTGCCTTCTCCTGTGCGCACCACAGGAGCAGTTAGTTGTTCCGGTCCCTGGGAGGCGGGGCCTTGGGGGTCAATAGCATGAGTCTTGATGGCAGCTGTGGCTCTAGCACCACACAAACTTTAGGGCTTTAAATAGGACCTAAGGATGTCATCCAAGACCAGGAGCAAAACACTTATATTTAAGAATAAAGCTCCTGCCAAAACCGGTTTGGCTCAGTAGATAGAGCGTCAGCCTGTGGACTGAAAGGTCCCAGGTTCGATTCAGTCAGGGGCATGTACCTTGGTTGTGAGCACATCCCCCACTGGGGGCAACTGAGCAATGATTCTCTCTCATCGATGTTTCTAACTCTCTCTCTCTCTCTCTCTTCCTCTCTGTAAAAAATCAATAAAAATATATTTAAAAAAAAAAAAAAAAGTGCTCGCTTCGGCAGCACATATACTAAAAAAAAAAAAAAAAGAATAAAGCTCCTGCCCTGGCCAGTGATGCTTAGTGGTTAAAGCATTGGCCTGCACACCGAAGGGTCATTGGTTCAATTCCCGGTAAAAGGCACGTACCTGGGTTTCTTTCTCCCCCCTCCCTCCTTCCCTTCCACTCTAACTGAAAAGCAAAGGAAGAAAATATCCTTAGAAGAGGATTAACAAGAAATAAACAACAAAAAATAGACTAAAGCTCCTAAGGTACTGAACAATAGCAATTCCTTCTACAAGTAGTTTCTTGAGTGACTGCTTGTGTGTGCCTGGCATTGCTATGTGTGGAATATACCAGAGAGAACAAAGTCTGACAGTCCCAGCTTCCCCGGAGCCCAGTGAGGGGAACAGAAGGGTTGCAAATCATCACTGATGAGCTGGTCATCACAGGCAGAGACCAGGCTTGGGGAGGGTCTCCCTGGGGAGTGACACTTGGCTGGGAGCCGAAGAATGAAGTGGACTCAGCTAGGGAAGAAAGGGTGGCAGGGAGAGTTCAGTACTCAGGTCAGAGGATCACCCTTCGTTGGCCCAGCAGTGGGGAGGGAGAATTGCATATTTCAGAAATTGCTAGAAGTCAGAGTACTGGGGTTGAGGGCAGAATCGGTAAGATGAAAAGATGACATCAAACAGAGGCAGGGCCCAGAGCGCTTGGGGCAGGTCAGGTTTTGGTCTTTATCCTGAGACCAGTGAGAAGCAGCTGAACTGTTTGGGTCCTCGGGTCACATGACCACATTTGTGTCCTGCAAAGATCCCCCCAGATGCCGTCTGCCTGGAGGGAAGTAGAGGGGGGAGGGGCCACCAGGTGGGAAGTTCTGGTGGTCACCTAGGTGGAGATGATGACGGTCCCCTCGGGTTCTCAAGGAGCTTGTGAGTTCCCAGCGAGTGCTGCATGGGAGGCCTTGGCCTTAGGAGAGGCAGCCCCCAGGAGACAGACTAGGAGAGACGATGCTGAGACCCTCCTTGGCCCAGTACTTCTCCTAAGTGCCTGTCCCCACAGAGGGCTATGACCCCAGCTCCCTGGAGGCCGTCCAGCTGGAGGATGGCTCCACTGCCTACATTCACCACCCAGCGGCTGTGCCGGCGGACAGCACCATCCTGGCGGTGCAGACGGAGGTGGGCTTGGAGGACCTGGCCGCGGAGGACGACGAGGGCTTCAGCGCAGACACGGTGGTGGCCCTGGAGCAGTACGCCAGCAAGGTGAGCTCGCCGAGCCTCACCGCCCACCAGCTCTCTCGGCCCTGCCCATTCTGCCAGCTCTTTAGCGGACGAGACCGCCAGTGCTGGGGCATGGCCTGGCCACTCCCTCAGCCCCGCACCCCACTCGCGGCTCCTCACATCTTCATCCAGGATGTGCATCCAGCCCGGCCGGGCCTGCCGACAGCTGTTTACACTCACCCTGTCTGTGCTGCCTCTGCGAGGGGAGGCAGCTGTGAGCAGCAGTGACATCCGTAGTCCTGGCTTCGCTTTGGCTGCCCGGAAGCCCTTGCCAGTGACTTTTATTAGTTTTTCCAGTCTACTGAGGTCAGATGTTCTTGTTTGTATTTCTTCCCAGTGACTCATTTAGTCATTTGGGGAAATGACCTCAGGAGGCAGTGATGGGGCAGATGCAACAGAGCAGCTGGGATTCTTGGAACACAAGGCCCGCACAGTAGCTCAGCCGCAACGGAAAAGGATCCCGGCTCTTCAGACATCCGTCAGTCGCAGCTGTCTGTGCTGGAGCCGGGGCCCTGCCCGCAGGGAAGTGGTGCAGAGACCTGTGAGCTTCCCTGCCAGGTGCTCCCTGCCGGCATGAGCTACGGAGCCTCAGCAAGATGCGGAGGGGCTTCCTGGAGCACTAGCTTCCCCCGGAGATGGGGGTTGCTTCTATAGTGAACCTAGCGTGGCTGCATCATAGAGAGCAGAAAACCCTATGTCTTCCCAAAGTGGAGCACAGCTTTACAGCGGCCACCGGGCTGAGCCCACTCCCGCCCGGTCCCGGAGTGTATTTTAGGAGCCAATTTGAGATTTGCTGTTGGAGATAACTGGGCTTTAAGTCCTGAGTCCTGAGGTTTGTGCTGGCTCTGCCTCTACTCTGTTGGACCGTGGGTAGTCACCCTCCTCCCATCCCTCAGCTTGCTCCTCTGTAATTTGATGAGATGGGGCCAGATGACCTCAGAGGTCACATCCAGCCGGAAGTTCTTTGATTCCCTTGATCACCCTAGGGCTGTTGAAACATGGGAGTGAGATTCCAGAGCTCATGGTGCAGGCCTGGCCACCTGTGGCCCTCCCCGCCAACCACCAGCTTCTGAATTGTCTGTGAAACTTTGTCAGCCACCTGACCCCTGACCTGGAACTGATTGACAGACCCTGCCATGAATTTGACCTCACCTCTTGATTCCTCACCCACCTGACTTGCGGAGTTCTGTGTCAGGAGCTCCTAGAAGGCCAATGTCCCAGAACAGTGGTCAGCAAACTCATTAGTCAACAGAGCCAAATATCAACAGTACAACGATTAAAATTTGTTTTGAAGACCAAATTTTTTAAACTTAAACTTCTTCTAATGCCACGTCTTCAGAATAGACTCGCCCAGGCCGTGGTATTTTGTGGAAGAGCCACACTCAAGGAGCCAAAGAGCCGCATGTGGCTGGTGAGCCGCAGTTTGCAGACCACTGTCCCAAAACAAAGGGACAGTCTCAGCAGGACCCTTCCCCGGAGAGCAGTGAGCTCCCTGACACGAGAGGCCGGTGGGAATAGCTGGCTCTGGCACTGCTCCCAGGAGAGGTGGAAGGGGGACTGGCCAGTTGGCTGGTGCGGTGGCTGGAGCTGCTGCTGGGGGGCGCTGCGGGTCCCGCCCTGTGCTGCCGTGTGCAGTGTGGCCCCCCAGCAGCCCTGGTTAATGCCCCTGAGCACAGGTGTCCCACAGGGAGCATGGGCCCCTCCCGTCAGGAGAGGTGTGCAGAGTTGCGGCCTCCCGGCTGTGTGTGGTCAGAAGGGGGTCTCTGGCTCCCAGCCCAGCTCAAGTGTGGCCGTTCAGACCACCCCTCCCCACCTTACCCCGCTGGCTCGGGCACCGTTTCTTAGCCGTCACAGCCTGTGACATGCATCCACCCATTAGAGATGGTGGGGACCCACAGCAGCCTATTTCTCCCTAGGGTGTCTGTTCCCTCTGCCTGGGCCTGTCACCCCAGGTTGCCCTTTGCCCCCTAGCAGTTTAACCCTACTTGGGTCTTCAGCTGCCCCAGGTGGGCCCTGTGTCCCACCCCTTTCCTCCTTTCATTGAGGAGAATACATATTGGGACCCCACAATTTCTCCTCAGGTTCTGCACGACAGCCAGGCACCCCATAATGGCAAAGGGCAGCAGGTTGGGGACAGAGCATTCCGCTGTGGCTACAAGGGCTGTGGGCGTCTGTACACCACTGCTCATCACTTAAAGGTAAGGTGCACAGCAGCCTTCAGCCTTTCCATCCCCCACCAGCCTGCAGTTCTACCTGCCCGCTCTGCCTGGGGTCCCTGCTCTCAAGTTGCTCATTGCCTCCTGGAGAAAGAGATGAGTACACACAAATGTCCGCACGGGGTGGGGGCTGTGACCCATAAGGAGCAGGAAGAGAGAGAGGGAAGGCTACCAGGAGGAGGGAGCGCCTCAGTTGAAAAGGAAGCAAAGAAAAGGGGGTGACTGATGCTGATACTCTGGGCCCTAAAAAGCGTTGAAGAGCCCGTTTACATCCTTGTATGTCCCTCTGAATGGTGTGATCGCTTGTCCTGACAGGTGCATGAGAGAGCGCATACAGGTGACCGTCCGTACAGGTGTGACTTCCCCGGCTGCGGGAAGGCCTTCGCCACAGGTAACTGCCTGGCGGAGGCTGAGAGGGCTGCTTCTGGTTGGCGACGGAGGTTCCAGATCAGCCCTGGGGACTCCAGAGCAGCCCTGAGAGACTGCTCTTGGAGCCCCTGACTCGCAGGGCACTGGCTCGGGAGGAAGCCATTTCAGAAGCAAGTGGCACAGGCTTTCTTTAAGCGGAAGGAGCCTGGGTGGTGGGCAGAGACCCTGCCTTTTGTGTAGCTCTGGCACCGACCACTATGGGCTGTTGGGTCGGCCACTGCATCTCTGGGCGTCACTTTTTCTCTGAATCGAGTCTTAGCCCAGGGCTCACTAGGCTCCCTCTTACTCGTGGTCTGGAATGGGCCTGCCCCTGGAGAGGGCAGGAGGCAGAGTGGGCTCCCAGCTCTCCTCGCTGGCCAGGCAGGTGGTAGAGAGGCAGACACAGGCTCCGTGGGCCAGAGGCGGTCTGGAGCCTCCCAGGGCACATCTTGGGTGGAGAGCCGTGAGCTGGGAAGTGAGGTGGTGGGGGATGAGGCCCCGCGGAGTGTTCTTCTCACCCCTCCCTCCCGCCTGGCTGCAGGCTACGGGCTGAAGAGTCACATGCGCACCCACACTGGGGAGAAGCCATACAAGTGCCCAGAGGAGCTGTGCAGCAAGGCCTTCAAGACCTCAGGAGACCTGCAGAAGCACGTCCGGACCCACACTGGTAGGCGGATCTGGAGCCCGGTGCTGTCCTGGCCACGTGCCCAGCATGACGCCCTTCCTGAGCCGCACCCGCCCTCACCCCCTCCGTAGGTGAACGCCCGTTCCGGTGCCCCTTCGAGGGCTGTGGCCGCTCCTTCACCACGTCCAATATCCGCAAGGTACATGTGCGCACCCACACGGGCGAGCGGCCCTACACCTGCCCTGAGCCCCACTGTGGCCGTGGCTTCACCAGCGCCACCAACTACAAGAATCACGTGCGCATCCACACAGGTGGGCCAGCTGGCATGCAGGACCGCCCTCCGAGGCCCCGCCCTAACCGTAGGCTCTGGCCAGTACAGGCTGGTCTGTGGGTGGGCCGAGGGGGTTCTGCGGTTCCGGCCATGTCCTCGGAACCACCGTTTCACTTGCACTGTGCAATCTGACAGGTACTGCCTGCCCTCCCAGCTCCCTGCCACCTCTCTCCACTGAATTCTCCCTCCAGCTGAGCACCCAGTGAAAGGCCAGGGTCAGGCATGATGGGGAACAGCAGAGGGAAATGTCCCCTTTAGCTCCCGCCTCATCCACTGTCCTCAAGACTCTGGTGTATCCTCGTCCTCCCAGTGTCACGTTCCTCATCCAGCCTCCGGTCCCCTCACTCTGCATTGCACCTGACACGACAGTCATCCCCTTCATCCCCTGCTTCTTCTGTGCACGACCCTCGGCCTTACAAGCCCCCAGTGCTCCCCTCCAGCCCCTTCATTAGCCCCAGCTTTGCCCAGCCCCCCATTTTCTCTCCACTTGTCTCCGGCAGTCCCACACTCACGTCCCCTCTGTTCCACTGGCCATCTCCCCCAAGTCCGTCCACTTAGAGTTCCAGGTCTTAGTCCCGCCCCCTCTCTCTGGCACTCCCTTCACCAGCCCCACCCCTCACCCTGTCCCCTTAGATTTCCCTTTGCCAGCCCCAGTTCCCGCCCCCTCACAGCCCAGTGTCCCCAGGGGAGAAGCCATACGTTTGCACGGTGCCAGGCTGTGGGAAGCGCTTCACCGAGTACTCGAGCCTGTATAAGCACCACGTGGTGCACACACACTGCAAGCCCTACACCTGCAGCACCTGCGGCAAGACCTACCGGCAGACCTCCACCCTGGCCATGCACAAGCGCAGCGCCCATGGCGAGCTGGAGGCCACCGAGGAGAGCGAGCAGGCCCTCTATGAGCAGCAGCAGCTCGAGGGTGAGGGGCATGGGCCGGAGGTGAGAGTGGGGCGAGCCAGGCCTCCCGTTGGCCCTCCGGTGGCAGGTGTCAGCTGGGCTCTCCTCTCCCAGCCGCCTCTGCAGCCGAGGAGAGCCCACCACCCAAACGACCTCGCATTGCTTACCTTTCGGAGGTGAAAGAAGAGGGTGATGACATCCCAGCCCAAGTGGCTATGGTGACTGAGGAGAACGGGGCCCCCCAGGTGGCTTTGATCACTCAGGATGGTGCCCAGCAGGTACCGGCCTGGGGGTGGGGGTAGGGATGGGGGGCACTCTAGCTAGTACCTTCTCCCTCTTTCTCTGGGGAGCCTGGGAGTTCTGACAGCCCCACCTCTACCCAGTTCCTCTCTGGCCCGTGGCTGTCAGTGAACTGAGGCAGAGTCTTGTAACAGCCTCTCCTCATGCTTCCGCCGGGTCTCTGGGGCTTCTGGAGCAGTTAGTTGCCCTCCTTGCCAGGAGGCTGACAGGTCCTGGCCACTTGAAAGAGACATTTGGATGTCCTTCTCAAGAGGACACGCTGGTGTGGAGGCCAGAGCACGGGATGACGATTCTATCCAGCAGTAAGCCTGAGCCTTGTCAGCACCCTCACTGTCAAGTGCACTGTGCCTGTGGGAGTTGGCATAAGAATGAATTAGGTGAGACCCTGAGTTGCATGGAACAGAACCCTGCGGCAAAGTGGTGGTGACAGAAGCGGTCAGCGGAGTGGCCCAGTGTAGCCTCTGTAAGCCCAGGACCTGTTTTATTGCTTGTCCCTGACCACCTGTGACTGCAGCCGATCTCCTAGATTGCCGATAAGTTAACCTTGCTCGGGAGGGAAGGATACATCCTCCCAGGGGCTTCCAGACAGCCCACCTCTGCACTTCCGGCTCACCCTCCTCCTTCCTGTTGGCAGGTCAGCCTGTCCCCGGAAGACCTGCAGGCCCTGGGCAGTGCCATCAGCATGGTGACCCAGCACAGCAGCACCACCCTCACCATCTCCAGTCCCGACGACAGCCTTGCCACGTCTGGCACACATACAGTCACCATGGTCCGCGCCGATGGCTCCCAGACGCAGCCCGTACGACCAGGCAGTTTGCTTGGGGCTTCTTGTTCCCTTGTCCTTCCTTTCCACTGGGCGGACATTTAAGTACAGGCTAAACTAGCCAAGCTTCCTTATGAGCCCAAGATTCCCCGACAAAAAGGGCAGTCCCACAGCCATTCCCTGTTGAGAAGCAGTTTGAAATCTCAAATCTACCCCTTATTTGTTTGCTACCACTGGCAAGTAATTTTTTATGTGGTCCCCCCCCCATTTCAAATAAGGGAGTTAAATGATCGCTGGGGGCTTTTACAGCTTTGTCCTATTGCTTAAAATCCCTAAATTAATCAAGAGAAAAACAAGCATCAATTAGCTCTGACCCCCAAGCTGATCCCCAATGATTTGATCCATTCTCTTCAGGGTTTTTCCAGCCATCTTATTGGAGGGGTTTGTTTGGATTAGGGGAAGGGGGAATAATGTAGGTGAGTTGGAAAACCTCTTTCATCTGTATTTCAGGTTACAATCATTACCTCTGGGGCTGTTGTGACCGATGACTCAAGTGTGGCGTCCCTTCATCATCAACAGGTGGCGCTGTTGGCCACAGCCAACGGGACGCACATTGCTGTGCAGGTGGGTAGAGATGTAGGGAGGATCCCGCCGCCAGAGAAAGGAGTCAGGGGGGCAGGGGGGCGAGGAATTAGATGGAGATCTTGAGGAGAAGGGCATTTGGCTCAAAAGGAGCTCACGTCAGAGGACAAATCCCTTTCTTCCTAAATCCACATACCTGTCTCGGCCCTTTCTTGACTGAGGCAGAGTGGAGCAACCCTCCCAGCCTTCACAGTAACTTCAGTGGCGTCTACCTGGGGGTCTAAGCCCTTTGTCTCCCCCGAGCTTTATTTCTGCGCCAGGAAAAGAAGCGAGGCTCTCCAACCAGTCGCTCCCTTCTGTGAGCAAACCCGTCTCCGGCCTGGACCATCCTGTGGCTCCCTGGCCATACTCAGCCTAACTCTTCCTCAGTGAGCCTCCTGTTAACAGGGCTCCACTAAGTGCTCAGTGTGTGGCACTGGGTGGATGGAGGGAATCCAAACAGTGGGTCACACACCACCACCCTTCAGACCTGGAAGAGGCCTCACTCTCCCCTTCTTTCTCACAGCTGGAGGAGCAGCAGGCCCTGCAGGAGGCCATCAGCGTGGCCGCTGCCGCCATGCAGCAAGGGGCTGTGACCTTGGAGGCCACGGAGACAGGGAGCGGCTGCTGAGCCTGGAGGGCTGGGTCCCGAACATGGAGGAGCACCGTGCCGCAGAGCCCTCCGCGCCTTCACAGGCGCGGGCTGGGCTGACAGGGGGAGGTGGCCCCGTAGGTCTCCAGGGTGAGAAGTCAGCAGGGAAATGGCCTCGCTGAAGGGGATGGGAGCCCTGCCCACGAGGAGGGCTGGACGGCCGGAATCAGGGGAGGGTGTCAGCCTCGGGAGCTAAGGACAAGTGTGGTCATCAGGCTGCATGGGGACGTCCTACCCTCAAAATCAACTGGGCACCCACTGTCCTCCCCCCAGAGAGCACCCTTCCTGCCCTCCCACTCCCCTTCTCAGGTGGCAGTCGGGGCTTCTGTGGGGATTGGTCACTCCGACTGGTCGCTGTCCACCAGGAGAGAGGCAGACAGGGCCTCAGCCCAGTAGGAACAGAACAGTCCCAGCCCCACCCCTCCCAGCAATAACCACCTCCCCAGAGGCCAGCGAGATGCCTGGTCACCTGGCAGCGGGGTACTTCCTGCTGCTGCAGTCAGAATTGCTTAGGGGCCTGTGGCTGGAGAAAAGGTGCCCGAACATCCCCCCACCCCCATCTGCCCCTCAGCCTCTGGTAGAGAGGCAAGGAACAGCCTGTACATACTGGGGATTGGGTTTAATTTTCTAAATTGCATTTTGATAAATTTTTTCCTGCTGTGAGCAGTGGTGGCAAACGGGTGAATGAGTATTTAATAAAAAGTTTCAAGTTTCCATCTGGGTCCCTCCATTTCTTTCAGCTTTGAGTCCTGGTGACGAGGCTGGTCAAACCAAGCACTTAGCTCTGTATCGCTGACACACGCTCCATGGAGCCTTGTGCTGGATGGTGGGGCTGCCCTACAGGGGCACAGGTGGGAGAGAAGCCCTGCGCAGCTGCCAGTGGCTTCCTGCCCACAGCCAACCCGGTGGCTTCAGGGTGGTCAGGCAAGGCCAGTGCGACCACTGCTTCCAGCTTCTGATGGATCTCTTGCCATTTGTTACATAGAGCGCTCCAGACCCAGTCAGCTGCTCCAGGTGGACAAAGGTACCTGTACGTTGGAGGGGCAGAGGTACCTTTGCTCAGGTTACTGGAGGTCTCTGGTGTTGAAGTCCTCGCTCTGATACCCAGCTCTGAGGGTGCCCACCTAGGTGTCTGGAGCCATGTCTGGAATTCCAAAACCACAGTCAGACCCCACCAAAAACTGGTGGGACCAAAGCAGAGAAGAGATTTGATGGAAAGAATCTTTGCGTAGGAACATTGCAGGGATTGGAGGTGCCCCAAACCACCTCCTACCACCCAGGAATGGCACCCTCTCCCCCGCCCACGTGTCCTCTCCGCGGATGCCTAGCAAGGTCCCCTTTACCCGGCCACTGGCTCCGTGGAGGCAGGGGGCCCGTGCCCAGCGAGGCGATTTCTCAAATGCCTACGTTGGCACCTCCAACATCCATGATCCCTGTCCCTTTCAGGAGGGTGGGCATTGGATCTAAAACAACTGGAAGCACTGCTGTGAAGCCCTGAGCCCAAGCCTCTGCTCCCCCTCCCTGTGTGCTTCACAAACAGCCTGGTCTTCAGGGCCAGGGGCCCGAGTGGGCAATGCTCTGAGTGCCTTTAGGGCGAAAGGCCAGAGACGGGAGGCAGCAGGTCATGTGCCAGGTCCGCCTGCCCTGGAGAAGCCCTGGCCCAGCCCAGTCTGTGCCGCTGCCTTTGTCTCCTCCTGCCTGGGAGGGGCCCCCACGCCCCAGGCTGTAGATGGCACTAAAGGAATGCTTTGTCCAGCGCCTACTCCGCTTCCAGCCGCGCTCAGGCCTTCTCACAGCTGGGGCCTGGGTGTTTTTCCTGCTTTAGCAACGAGGAAGCTGCTCGAGGAGGTTAAGTAATTTATGTAGGATCCGGTAAGTGTGGAATGAGACGAGACCCCCCCTTACCCCATGTGCCTCCAAAGTCAGGCTGGGCCTGCATCTGCCCACAGCACGCTGCCTCTGGCAGCCCAGGGGCCAGCAGACACACCTGGGGCCCCAGCTCCGGGGCCTGGGCCTCGCTGCCTTGGCGCCGGGAGCCACGGAGCCCTGCAGGCGCGACAGGCGGGCCGCCAGGCAGCACAGGCAGCCCGCGAGCAGGCAGGTGGAGCTCGCGCTCCGCGCCAGCCCCTCTGTGGTCTCTGCAACCGTTTGCATTTCCTGAAACCGGATCTCGATGTCAGAGCCACCGTGGGCGGGCGCCTCAGCCATGGCCCTGCGAAAGGAGCTGCTGAAGTCCATCTGGTACGCGTTCACCGCGCTGGACGTGGAGAAGAGCGGCAAGGTCTCCAAGTCCCAGCTCAAGGTGAGGCACGCGGGGCCCCGGGAGGCTGGCAGGCACCCAGGCCCGCCGCCGAGCCAGGCATGAACCCCGAACTCCTGGGCACCCAGCCATCGAGAGGCCCGAGCGTGGAGGGGGTCAGTACTGGGTGGCTGCTGCCCACCGTCCAGGGAGCAGGGGAGGGGCAGAGCCATCGCCCAGGACCTGCCCCTCCAATGTCGGATGTGGAGGCGGCACCATGGTTCCTGAGGGCCACGGGCCAGGCGGAGTCCGAGACTCAGTGCGATGAGCACACATCGCCCTAGCGTCAAGCTTGGGCACGTACCCAGCTCCTTCCTGCTGCTTCCTCCTGCCTTTGAAGAAAGACAGTTAGCTGGTGCTTGTCAGTCACTTCCGCAGCCGAGTGGCTTTCAGAGCCTTTCCCAGTCCACACCGGCCGCGCGGTCTCTGGCAGAACAGCTCCTGGAAGCCTGCTCCCTGTGGGACGGTGGGACGGAGCTGGGAAGAGCATTATGCTGGTGCCCAGCTTCCCCTCCCCCTGCCCACACCGGGTTAGAGAACTGTTGCCTTAAGCGTTGAGACCTCAGGTAGGAAGGGAGTGGAATCTGAGCCCAGGGAGAGCCCTAAGGTTCGCTGGCCCTAGGCAGTGCCTGGTAGGCCCAAGCGTTTCTCCTTCCTTCCCCCCCTAGTGAGTGGGCAAGAAGCAAGGCCCTAGGCCTGTGATTTCCAACCTGTGTGCTGCAAGAATTTTAAAAACATGCAGTGCCTATTCGGTCAGGGGCACTGACCTCCTTGCTCTTAGATTTCCAAAAAAAAATAAATAAATAAAATAACAACAGCCAGCACAACAGAAACCGCCCAGGATGAATGAATCAAAATTATACCTGCCCTGGCCAGTTTGCTCCATGATGAGAGTGTTGGCCCATGGTCCGGTGAGTCTTGGGTTCAATTCCTAGCAAAGGCAGGTACCTTGGTTGCAGGTTCAATCTCAGTTGAGGTGCAAGCAGGGGGCAACCTCCCTTTCACTCTCTCTAAAAATCATATATCCTCACTCCTTGAGTGAAGATTTAAAAAATATATACTTTTTTTTTGTCAGATCGGCAGAAAATCTATTTTTTGGTGTGCCACAGAATTTTAGTAATTACTTCATGAGTGCCACGAGATGCAAAGGGTTGAAAATTGCTGCCCTAAACTATTAGAACCAGGGAACGGTGGGAGTCGGGAGCAGGGTAGGCCTCATCTCTCCGGACCTGCCTAGGGGCTCATTCATTCACTCAGCAAATATTTATTGATCACCAACTATATACCTGGCATTAGGCTAAGGTCCTAGATTCCTGGTATCTCCTCTGGGCAACCCCAAATAGGAGTGCAGTCTCAAGGAAATCTCCATTCTTAATGACCAAGGTAGGAGGTGCCTTGAACCCGGAGATGAATGGAACCGAGTAGGTGTTATCCCCATCCTCATTCCAACTGCCTGCCTGCTGATCTTGGAGGCAATGTCACTGGCTGTTCCAACCTGGTCCTGTTCTGTAACCTATCCCTCAGCCACCTGTGAGCATCCAATAAATGATTCTTGACTCTCCTGGGAAGGAGAGCCCACTACCGCCTTGGATCGCCTGGGAAAACAGAGCTACTGGCAGGTCCTTCCCTATAGTCTACTTCAGTTCACTTATTGCCGCTCACGTCATCCGTTTAGACAGAAGACATGCAGATCATCCAAAACCCATCTCTTCTGGAGCCTCTGTCTTATCCTCTAACCGGGCCAGTGGCTGCTATTTGCAGGGATGATTCCATGGGGAGCTCGCATACTCAACTGTTTGCTGTCTCCACAACTCAAACTGAGCCCACAGCAGCCTCGTTGGTCACATGAGGTCAGTGGTGGACTTTTCCCTCCACGAGACAGAAAACTGGCTCACTCTGGGCATCTGAGCTGGCTGTGAGAGCCTCCCGCAGTTGGTGAATGGGGCATAAATCTAGAGCCCATGTCATCTGAGGTGGACCCTGGAATGGGAGGAAGTAGTGATAGTGCTGGGGGTGGGGATGCCGGAAAGGCAAGAGAGCAATAGAGAAGTGGTCAGAAGGCGGAGGAAGAAGCAGACAAGAGAGAAGCACCCACCCTCTCCCCTGAAAAAATACTGGGGAGAAGGATAAGGTTGGGCATAGCATCTCCTCACTAAAACTGCCCCAGGCTGGGAGTCCTTGGTGGGAACCAAGCGGGGAAAACAACCAGCCAGACATGTACCCATGAAGTCACCACTTCTCTCTGATGTGGTGGTGGAAGGGCTGCCATCGACTGTCCTCGGCAAAGCCATGAGGAGGCCAGAGGGAGGAGGAGGAACGGCAGGTCCTCTGAGCAGTAGCCCACGGGGTCAGGAGTGTTTTCTCTGGAGAAGAGAAGGCTGGGGGCGAGATCAGATGCTTTTTCCTCTCTTTGAATTCTATTAGGAAGTACAGTGCTCTTTGCCCAATTGGATTGAGAACGCGGGAAATAGAGCAATAGGGCCTGGCCTGCGTGGCTTGGTGGTTGGGCTTTATACCTTTATACCAGAAGGTCACGGTTCAATTCCCAGCATACTCCTGGTTGTGGGTTCTATCCCCAGTGTGAGGTATGCAGAAGGCAATCTATCAGTGATTCTCTCTCATCATTGATGTTTCTATCTTTCTCTCTCTCTTCCTTCCTCTCTGAAGTCAACTTAAAATATATATATATATATATATATATATATATATATATATATATATATATATATATATCTAGCAATAGAAATTATATTTCTGGATTGGGATTGAGCACAGAATTTCTCAGGAGTTGAGGACTGAGTGTTTGGAGGGTCCTCAGAGCCCCCTTCCCTAAAGAACTTTAGGAGCAAGTAGCCCTGACAGGGCTATAGGGAGGGTCCCTTGGGAAAGCTGGGCTTCCTGATGGCCACACCCTTTTCCCTAGGTTTTAGGCTACTGGGGGACCCATTGAGAATTTGACCGGACTGCCAGGCCCACAGCGAGGGGCCTAGGGCTGGGGGTGTGGGTGGAACATCATGTCTCTGGCGGGATGAGGATCTTAGGAGGAAGCCAGCCTACCTCTTCCCCTTGGCTGACAGGAGCCAGGGAAGGCAGAGAGGGCAGAGTGGACCTTCCCTACTTGTCTGGGGAGGTGCTCAAGCCTCCAATCAGCACTCAGGCTAGTCCTAGAGCCCAGGGAGCGTTGCTTGCCTCCTCTGGGGAGAGACAATACCTTCTTGGTGGAGGAGAAGTTCAGAACAACTCCAGGAATCTGTGGCTGAGGCCATCAGTTTTGCCTTGACCCCTACCAGCTGCTGGTCTCCTCGTGCTGGGAGCGGGAGGAGGGGAGAAGAGAAGGCTGGGGGCGAGATCAGTTGATAAACCAGTTGATGCAAAGTCACGTAGGTTTATACCTGTATTCCTCCCCAGCTGGGTGTCCTTGCAAATCACCGCCATCTCTGGACCTCCAGTTTCTCGTCTATGACATCCTCAGGTTGAACTGGGATCACTAAGCTATCCAGCTAGCAACTTACGAAAACAGATATTAACCAAGTACATCAAGTGGGTGAAATGGAGCCTTGAGGCAGGCTCTCCTTCCCTCTTCGGAGGGAGCCTCTCCTCCCTCTGATGCCCACACCCACCCCTTCCCCCCTCCTGCCCTCACAGGCTCCCAGCTCTCACCTTTTAAAGGTCCAGTGCTCCTCCCTCATGATAGCAGCTAAATTCCTGACTGAGAAAACAGCTGCTGATTGAGAAAACCACATTCAGTAACTCTTAAAATGATCTGCATATTTTAAAATAATCACTTGGCACCTAGATCCCTGTGAAGACTATAGGCCATGGAGGAGGAGGGGGGGAGAGTGGCTGCTCAGTCTTCCTGCAGTCGTTGCTTGGTGCTTGTGTGGGTCCTCAAAGCCCCTGTATCTGCATCTACTTCTGAAGGCTGGAAACTACAGAACCGTGGGCATGGCAGCAGCCCCCATCCCTGCACTGAGCTTTAAGGGAACTCCAAACCCCCCAGAGGATAATCACTCCCTCACATGCCTCAGACCATAGGAAACAGTGAATAAGGTCAATGGCTGCCAACCCAGAGGTCAGGGCTACGGGAGTGAGGGGACTGTGGGAGTTCTCTCTGAGAGGCCGAAGGCAGCCTGTGAGCTGCAGACACCTGAACCCCACCCCAGGAAGCTCTGAGTCAGTCTGTCTGGGCAAGCCCAGCATATTTCAGTTTCACCAGCTCCCCGGATGACTCTGATGCTCAGCCAGAGCCAGCATCGCGTAGAGATGAGGAGCAGGCCTTGTCTCTCAATCTGTTTTTGTTCATCAGGTGATGTTGTTTATTATAGTCCGCAAGTGAGTGAGATCATGTGATATTTATCTTTCTCTGACTGACTCACTTAGCATAATGCTCTCCAGCCCCATCCATGCTGCTGCAAATGGTAGGAGTTCCTTCTTTTTTACAGCAGCGTAGTATTCCATTGTGTAGATGGACCACAGCTTTCTAACCCACTCATCTGCTGATGGGCACTTAGGCTGTTTCCCAATCTTAGCTATGGTAAATTGTGCTGCCATGAACATAGGGGAGCATGTATCCTTTCTGATGGGTGTTTTTGGTTCCTTGGGATGTATTCCTAGAAGTGGAATTACTGGGTCAAATGCGAGATCCATTTTTAGTTTTTTTGAGGAAACTCCATACAAATGCTCAAACCTCAGAGTGAAGGCAGGAGAGGGTGGGGGTAAGTGAGAGAGATCAACCAAAAGGCTTGTCTGCATGCATGTAAGCCTAACCAATGGACAGAGACAGCAGGGGGGTGAGGGCATGTATAGATGTAGGGGGGGGGGGGCAATGGAGGATATGGACACAAAAGTAATACCTTACCCAATTTTTTAAAAATGGCTTAGGTACATAGATTAAAAAAAAAAGAGCAGGCCTTGACATGCTCATCTGCCAAAGGAGCACAGTGAGGTTCCTGCCTTGGGGCTGAGAACTGACTGCTCCTGCTGGCCCCATCCCAGCCATTTCC